TCGTCAGCCCAAGAAGCGTCTGTGTGTCCAGTGAGTACAACTCGGTCTCGTCCTCCAAGCACTAGCCCCATGCCCAACGTACTGCACAAGTAGCGCAACACCCTCTTAGCGGCATCCATGTGCTCCTTCCGGTGACGGCCAGGAGCGGAAAGCGCGCAAGGATGCTAAGAGGGTATGCAAGGTCAGGTCGAGTGCAGGTCATCAGGTACATGAGGCAGCCCACAAGCTCTGGATACGGGCCGCTCGGCTCTACGGACTCATCCGAAGGCAGAGCTGAGAGCGAGTGACCGGTAGGCAGAGGAGTGGGCTGAGGCGAGGAGTACGTGAAGCGGAAGCGCTGAAGGACCTGCTGCACCATGTGTGACTGAGTCAAGGTGATGGTGCGCCGTGCTCTGTCCCGGGTGATCCGCAAGCCAAGATAGCTTGTCAGTTCACCCAGGTCTGTGCACGTGTGTCTCTTCTGCAGCTCCGACTTCACGTGGGCGAGTGCAACAGTGTCAGCAGTGGCAAAGACCAAGTCGTCGACGTACACGAGGATGTAGAACGGCGGCAGTGAGGTGTCGGTGCGTAGAAACAGTGACGGGTCAGCAGTAGAAGGAGCGAACCCAAGAGCCGCAAGTGTAGTCCTTAGTGTGTCGTGCCACTCACGTGGCGCCTGTCGGAGACCGTAGACTGGCCGCCGGAGGCTCCACTGGGTACCAGGAGGGAACGACCCAGTGAAGCCAGGTGGGCGGCGCAACCAGATCTCCTCGTGCAGGCTGCCCTGTAGGAAAGCAGTGCTGAAGTCAAGAGAGTGGAGCTCGTAGTCACGCTGAGCGGCGACGTGCAGCAGAACCCGAAGAGTGGTCATCTTCGGGGTCGGGGAGAAGGTCTGGAAGAAGTCAACTCCCTCTCGCTGACTGAAGCCTCGTGCAACGTAACGCGCCTTGAAGACAGGCGGAGAACCCGGCGGCCGCTTCACCCTGAAAATCCACATGCCACTGACGATGTTCGCCCCAGGTGGGGTAACCTCGTCGACGTAGGTGCCTGTGGACTTCCAGGAAGCCATCTCTGCGTCCATGGCTGTCTGCCACTGAGAGGAGTAGGGACCCTCTATCGCCTCTGCGTAAGAGCGCGGAGTCGGGATGTCTGGTGCATCCGGGTCTCCCTCAGGGGCAACTAGCATGGACACGAGATGAGGTAAAGCAGCGGCAAAGCACTCAAACTCCTCCTGCCTGTCCTCAAGGACGTCCGTGCCAAGAGCACACTCACCCCCGACGGACGGAGGACAGACAGACTCAGACTCAGCAACTAGGCTAGCGGCGTAGTCTAGACGACAAGCGGCAGCAAAGTCGACAAGCTCAGCAACTAAGGCAGACGCAGCAGTGGACTCAAAGGAAGGGTCAGTGACAACAGTAGCCAGGAGACGCGTGACAGTAGGACTGGTAGCACGAAGGGAGTCAGACTCAGGGTCAGCAAGAGCAGGAAGAGAGGACGCAGGAGGAGACGGGAGAGGGACACGCTGGGGAGCAGTGGAAGGACGAAGCGCCATCTGGTGAGTGCCTGGGACAGCAGGAGGACGCTGACGCGGGACACGACGACCAGTGTGAGCAGCACGTACAGGCGACGCTCGACGAGACTCAGGCGACGCAGGACGAGACTCAGGCTCACGACGCTCCGTAAGACCTCCAGTCGGACCAGTGTAAGGAGAAGGACCAGGGAGAGGGGAGACAGACGGTAACTGTGACTGCGACTGGACAGACGGAGGACACTCTAAGGAGGGAGGAGGACAAGGAGGAGGAGGCTGACCAAGAACCTGCTGAAGGAGCGGAACGAAGTACGGCCGCGGCCGCGCAGCGTCTCCAGAACCAGCAGAGACACCAGCGCCAGGGTCCTCACCACCAGCAGCAGCACCACCTCCAGGGTCCTCAGCACCAGCAGCAGCTCCAACTCCAGGGTCCGCAGCACCAGCAGCAGCGCCGACTCCAGGGTCCGCAGCACCAGCAGCAGCTCCAACGCCCGGGTCCACAGCACCAGCAGCAGCTCCAACGCCCGGGTCCTCAGCACCAGCAGCAGCTCCAACTCCAGGGTCCGCAGCACCAGTAGCACCTCCAGAAGAAGCAGTACCTCCAGCAGCTACAGTAGCCCCAGCACCAGCAGCACCTCCAGCAGCTCCAGCAGCACCAGCAGTACCACCAGCAGCGCCAGAAGCACCGCCAGCAGCAGCACCTCCAGCAGCTGGGTCCGCGACACTAGGAGCGCCACTCCGGAGACTGCAGCGCCGTGCGTACCACTCTCGGAGCCGCTGGGGAGAGGGCAGCTCCCGCCTAGGAGGGGAAGCACTAGCACCAGCTCCAGCCGCACTCCTAGCTCCAGAAGCACCTCTCCTGAGGCTGCAGTACTGTAAGTACCACTCACGCAGCTGCTGTGAGGAGAGAGCTCCTCCAGGTGTAGCACTCCTAGGCTCAGCACCTCCAGACTCAGCACCCCCAGACTCAGCACCCGCAGGCTCCGCACCCCCAGGCTCAGCACCCCCAGGCTCCGCACCCCCAGGCTCAGCACCCCCAGACTCCGCAACCCCAGGCTCCGCACCCCCAGGCTCCGCACCCTCAGGCTCAGCACCCCTAGCAGGACGAGAGTCGACAGCTACCTCGACAGGCTCAACCGGGTCTACCTGGGACACACCTGAGGGAGCGGCACCCTGAGGGGGGAGGGGGTCTACCACAGCAGCACCTGGCGCGAGGAAGAGAGGCGGGGGGGGGAGCGGGGCAGTGCGGTAGGGGAAGAGGCGGTAGTAGGGGACGGACTCGTCGAAAGTGACGTCCTGAGAAGGCAAGACACGGCGCGAGGTGGGGTGGTAAAACTGCCAACCAGACGCGTCCGGGACAAAGCCAAGGAAGACACAAGGAACAGCGCGGGAGGAGAGCTTGTCCGCAGACGTATCGCGGACAAAAGCTCGAGATCCCCAGACCCGAAAGCGTGACGCATCGCCAACCTCTCCCGTCCAACGCAGTGTCGGCGAAGTCTCCGGAACGGAGACACGGGGCCAGAGGTTGAGCTGATGCGCAGCGTATCGGACTGCAAACGGCCACAGAAAGTGGGGGGCCGCCGCATGGATCAAGGAGGTACGAGCGACCTCCATGACCAAGCCAATGCGGCGCTCAGCAACCCCATTATGCTGTGGAGAGGCCGGAAGTGTGAACGACTGGCGGATGCCGTGCTCCGCACAGTAGGCTGCCAAGAGATCGGAGGAGAACTCACCACCTCTGTCAGAGTGCAAGCGCAGGACAGGAAAGTCCGAGTGGAAACGCTCGCTGAGCTGGAGACGAGAAGCGCTGATCCAAGGGATCAAAACATCAGGGACCTCACCCTTGGTGCGCAAGGGGAAGACCGTGGTGTAGCGCGAGTAGTCGTCAACAACTATCAGGAAGTACCTCTCCTGACCCTGACCACGGACGCGGGCTGGGCCCCACACGTCCATGTGGAGCGTCTGCAAGGGAGCAGTCGTCGGGGGAAACGAGGAGGAGTGAGGAGCGGCGCGCTGCCGCCCCTCGACACAGGGAAGACAGGGAGGAGCAGGCGAGGGTGGGAGGGGAGGAAGAACCCTGGGAAGACCAGAGACAAGGTACCGTTTGTGCATGGCACGAAGGCGCTGCACGGACGGGTGACCAAGTCGGTGGTGCCAGAGGACGGTCTCGTGCGCCAGAGAGCGACACGAGCAGGGGGCCGACAGCTGACCTGACGCAGACACAGACGCAGCGAGGGGACGCAGTGGTCAGTGTGTACAGGTCCGACCCCGGCTGCCGAGTGAAGGTAGCCAGGTGGCGACCCGTCCGAGCGCACGTGCAGTGTGTCACGCGCTCGTAGGCAGGGGTGAACTGGTGAACACCCCCGTCCTGAAGCGCACTACCCGCCACCAAGTTCGTAGAGAACGAGGGGAGGTAGAGACCTGACAGCGTGCCCAACGGGACCGCAGGACAAGGGAGGACAGTGGAGGAGGTCGCAAGGACCGGACCCCCAGAGGGGTCAGCGAGGGAGACTGCAACCGGCCGAGCAAGCTGCTCAAGGGCCGTGCGGTCACAAAAGAAACAGCGGGAAGCACCGGAGTCCAGTGTGAAGGTGTGCAGTGCCGCAGTAGACGCAGTACCAGCAGGTGCGAACGCACGAGTACCTGGGGCAGCAGACTCACCAGCACCTAGAGCAGCAGCCTCACGAGGACCTAGGGCAGCAGACGCACTAGCACCTAGAGCGGCAGCCAGACCAGTACCTAGAGCAGCAGACTGGATACCGGGGTCAGGCGGTACACACAGGGGACAGGCACTCTCAGTACTAGTAGACAATGCATACATGGCAGTGAGGATAGCATCAGAGTCAAGAGCAAAGATATCTACCCTCTGCCTAAGCAGCTCCACCCAGGAGGGGAGCTCAGCGGCGTCACCAAACTCTGTACGCCAAGCGTCGCCCAGACGGGCGAAGCAGTGGGACTCTGTGTGGCCACGGGTCCCGCAAGGCTGACCAGTCCGGACACCTGTGCGAATGACGTACGGGCAGCGAGCAGTACTCAGTGACCCTCTACTCTGAGCGTACCACTCACGGAGCTGCTGGGGCGAAAGAGGACACGGCAGCTGCACCTGTCCACTACCAGACGCTCCCGAACGACCCACTCCAGAGCGACTACCACTACGGCCACCCCGGCAGCCCCAACTGGCGTACCACTCACGAAGCTGCTGGGGCGAAAGAGGACACGGCAGCTGCACCTGTCCACTACCAGAAGCGCCCGAACGACCCACTCCAGAACGACTACCACTACGGCCACCCCGACAGCCCCAACTAGCGTACCACTCACGAAGCTGCTGGGGCGTGAGGGACTCACGCGCATGGCCCTGGAGCTGCATCTGGCCACGCCACGAGCAGTAGTAGCAGCAGTAGCGGCAGTAACAGCAGTAACAGCAGGAGCAGTAGCAGTGGGAGTGGAAAAGGCAGTAGACAGCAGTAGCAGCGGTAGCAGTGCGGGCAGGGCAATGCTCACCAGTGGTCGGCGCGGCAGGCGCAAGCCGGTGGCGACAGCGTGGCCGCTACAACTGCAGGGCGGGGCCGGGCCGCAGCAGAGAGCTCCGCAGCAGCTGCTGCAGGGCGGGGCCGGGCCGCGACGGCAGCTGCTCCAGGGGCAAGGGGCGGCTGCTGCAGTGGCGGCTGCTCCAGGGGCCAGGGGCGGCTGCTGCAGCAGCGGCTGCTCCAGGGGCCAGGGGCGGCTGCTGCAGGGGCGGCTGCTCCAGGGGCGAGGGGCGGCTCTTGCAGTGGCGGCTGCTCCAGTGGCCAGGGGCGGCTGCTGCAGGGGCTGCTGCTCCAGGAGCCAGGGGCGGCTGCTGCAGGGGCGGCTGCTCCAGAGGCCAGGCGCGGATTAGGTCAGGGCGACGCGGCGAGCAGGGGCGACGCCGCGGGCAGGTGACGACGCGGCGGGCAGGTGGCGACGCGGCGGGCAGGGCGACGCGGCGGGCAGGTGGCGACGCCGCGGGCAGGGCGACGCGGCGAGCAGGTGACGACGCCGCGAGCAGGGCGACGCGGCGGGCAGGTGGCGACGCCGCGGGCAGGGCTACGCGGCGAGCAGGTGACGACGCCGCGGGCAGGGCGACGCGGCGGGCGGGTGGCGACGCCGCGGACAGGTGGCGACGTCGCGGGTAGGCGACGACGCCGCGGGCAGGGGCTACGCCGCGGGCAGGTGACGACGCCGCGGGCAGGGCGACGCGGCGGGCAGGTGGCGACGCCGCGGGCAGATGGCGACGCCGCGGGCAGGCGGCGACGCCGCGGGCAGGGCGACGCGGCGGGCGGCGAGAGCCTGCAGGGGCGGCGCGCGGTCGGGCAGAGGCTGCGCGCGGGCCTGACGGGTCTGCAGGGGCGGCTCTCGGGCCTGACGGGTCTGCAGGGGCGGCTCGAGGGCCTGACGGGTCTGCAGGGGCGGCTCTCGGGCCTGACGGGCCTGCAGAGGCGGCTCGGGGGGGGCCTGACGGGTCTGCAGAGGCGGCTCGGGGGCCTGACGGACCTGCAGGGGCGGCTCGAGGGCCGTACTAGCTTGTAGGAGGCAGCGCGAGGGCTACAGGACGGCACTCGGGCAGACCGAAGGGCGGGGCGCGCGAGGGCGCACGAGCAGAGAAAGGCGCACGAGGGCGCACGAAGGCGCACGAGCAGAGAAAGGCGCACGAGGGCGCACGTAGGGTAGGGCGCACGAGGGCGCTTCTAGCGGAATAGTGGGCCCGTAGTAGAAAGCGGTCCTAGGTAGCAACCTAGGCTCGTGATACCATGTTAGAATCTAGAATAGAACGAGAATGGATGAAACTAGGTAGGAGGGGGATACAAGTAGGAAACCCTAACAAAGCTGTACCCCCTAAGGCTAAACCCACTATAGCCTACACAATATAAACATATAATGTTTGACACAATCCTCCTGATTCCCGTGGGGTGTCGAATCCGATGGCTCATGATTTTTTCGGGCTCGATGATCGGCTCCGATGCAGGGCGAGTCATGGATGGCGGGCGGTGACGATGCAGCTGGCTTGTGGTTGGGATGTAGGGGCGAAGCAGGCTGACGTGGAATGGTGGGCTGATGTACCAGTCTGTCGGCAACAGTAAGTGTGCTGTCACTGGGGTAATCATGTGGCTGATTTGGAATGGTCCACAATAGCGCAGTCGTAATTTCGGTACGACGGGCAGTTTTAAGATATGTGTTTCGAGCAGTACGCAATCTCCTGACTGGTACGTGACTGGGCGGCGGTGGCGGTCAACGTTGCGCTCAGCGATGACATTTGCTTTTTTAATTGCTTCGGCGGCTCTGGTGCAGGCAGCTTGCAGAATCTCGGCGAATTGTTGTGCACGTGGCATTGGATTGTCCGGACTCGGCGTCATGGACACTGTAGGGTTTTGCCCGTAGTTCAGGTAGAACGGGGACTGCTGCGTCGTCGCTGACGTGGTGTTGTTGTACGCGAACTCGATCAGCGGCAGCTACTGCTCCCAAGTTGTCAGGTCGTCGCACGTGGCACGAATCAACTGCTCCATCGTCTAATTCGTCCGCTCCGTTTGACCGTCTGTCTCGGGGTGGTACGACGAGCTGAACTGTAGCCTGGTCCCGAACTGCCCCCAAAGGTTCTTCCAGAAATTGCTGGTGAACTTCGTGTTGCGGTCGCTGATTATCGCGGCTGGTATCCCGTGCAGTCGAATGACGGCTGCGATGAATAGGCGAGCGGTTTCTTCGACTAAGATCGATTTCTTGCACGCAGCGAAGTGTGCCATCTTCGTCAATCTGTCAACGACAACCATAACTGTGTCGTTACCCCCAGGGTCCAAAGGTAACCTTGTGATGAAATCCATGGTAACCTGCTGCCAGGCGCGCTCGGGCGGTGGAATCGGCTGCAACTGACCCGCCTTTCTTTTTCGCGAGCTCTTCATCACCTGACACGTAGCACACGAGCCCACGTGGTGCTGTACGTCGGTCAACAGCTCCGGCCAGTAGTAATACCGCTTCAGTCGCTGTCGCGTTTTTTCTACCCCGAAATGTCCCGAGGTAATCCCGTCATGTGCCTCCTACAGTAACAGTTCCCTCAGTAGTGAGTACGCGGGTACCCAGATGCGGTTGGTGCCTGTGTTTACATAATAGACTCCTTTTGCTTCTGCTAGTTGCTGTGAATTTCCGGCCGTGAAAAATGGGTCGGTACTGTACCCGTGGGTGAATAGGCCTGTTAGTAGTGGGTTGGTTTGGGCGAGTAGGATGGCGTAGAGTTGGGCGGTGGGGCGTGTGAGTGCGTCGGCGATGTTGGATGCACCTTTTTTGTACGTGACCGTGTAGTGGAAGTTGGACTCCAAATAGTCCAACCAACGGATCTGTTGCGGGTTGAGATTTGGTTGGGCGCGAAGGTACTGTAGGGATCGGTGGTCTGTCCGTACTATCATGTCTGCTCCTGTGAGGTAACATCACCACACCTTGAACGCGTGCACGATCGCCAGCATCTCTCGGTCGTGTATCGGGTAGTTGCGTTCGGGTGGGTGAAGCTTGCGGGACTCGTACGCGATTGGCTGGAGGCCGTTCCCGAAGTCCTGCAACAGTACTGCTCCCACAGCGATGTCGCTAGCGTCGGTGACGAGCTCGAACGGACGGTGCGGATTTGCGATGTGAAGCACGGGCGGCGAGCACAAAAATTGTTTGAGGGCCGAGAAGGCAACTTGCTCTTTCTCCCCCCACGTGAACTCAACCCCCTTCCTCAGCAGGTCGGTCAACGGGGCAGTCAACTTCGCTATTTTGGGGACGAACCGGCGCACGTAGTTGACGAACCCAAAAAAAACTTTGCAACTCGGTCAAATTTGTCGGCGCGTGCCACGCTTGAATCGTCGCGATCTTTTTCGGGTCTATTTCCACTCCGTACGCTGAAATGATGTGTCCCAAAAACTCCAGTCGGTCCTGTAAAAACTCACACTTAGAAGCTTTGGTCAGTAGGCGGTTCTCGCTCAGTATTTTAAAAAACTGCTTCTATGTCCTGTAAGTGCTGTGCTCTGTCGGAGCTGTAAATCAGTATATCGCCGAGGTACACGATGACGCACTTATCTAAAAGCGGGCGGAAGGCTTCATTCATTGTCATTTGAAAGGTGGCGGGGGCGTTGGTCAGTCCAAAGAGCATGACTATATATTCGAAGGACCCGTAGCGTGTTCGGAAAGCTGTCTTGGGGCAGTCGGTTGGATTGACGCGAATCTGTTGGTAACCCCCTCTAAGGTTGATTTTCGAGAAAACCCGGGCTGTGCGCGGTTGGTCGATCAGTTCGTCGGCTCGCGGGATGGGGTAACGGGATTTGATGGTAACCCTATTCAGTGCCCTGTAGTCTATGCACATGTGAAAACCCCCGTCCTTCTTCTGCGTGAACAGTATCGGTGCTGCGAAGGGTGACGAACTCTGGCGAGTGAATTCTTTTTCGAGCGGGTAGTCTAGCTGCTTCCTCAGTTCGTCCAGTTCGGATTGCGTCAGTCGGAACTGTCGATGTACTGTCGGCTGTGCCCCCGGTTCTAATTCTATCCTGTGGTCGTGCGGTCGCTGAGGTGGCAGTCCCGTCGGCAGGTCGTCCGGAGATATTTCACTGTACTGCTTCAAGAGTGCTGCCAGGTCATCCGGTACGTTGACTAGCAGTTTCTGTAAATCCCCCCCTTTGTATGCTGCCTCGGCTTCCCGAATGTCAACCGCATACACGTCAACTCCTGCCGCTACGGCGCGTTTCATCGTGATCGCGTTCACACGCACCGACGAAGACTCAGGCGAGCCCCAGCGAGGTAAGGCGATGTTGTTACCGTTCACTCGCACGGTGCAGTCACCCATCGTCCAGTCGATTCACGTATAGTGTCGTCGTAGCCAATCACGACCGAGTAAAATGTCGGTTCCGTCAAGGGTTGTCGCGAGCATTTCTTGGCTAAACGTGAAATTACCCCCGCATCAAATCCGAACCCGGTCTACGCGTTCTCGTATCGCTAGTGGCGTGCCGTCAACCAGTCTTGCATCGATCTCAGGTAAGCATCTGTCCAGTGGCAATTTCAGTTTCCGTGCTGTGGTAGTGTTAATGAGGCTGTGGCTGGCTCCCCCTTCTACGAAGATTTTAACTAAGTCTGTCCCCATTTTCCCACTAAGCAGTATGGGGCTGTCTACCGTAGTACCCTCCTTATTCAGCCGGGTGTGGTCGATTGCGTGAACCGGCACAATCACTCGGTGAGGGTCGGTTGGGTCGGGCGAGCGGCGTGACCTGTCAGTAGAGGGCCCGGCTGCTACTGACTCCCAGCGTTTCCCTGCTGCTTGGTCTGTTTCTGCTGCTCAGCTTCCCCCTTTCCCTTAGCGTTTTCCGGGCATTCACTCTTACGGTGTCCCGGCTGATTGCACGCGAAGCAGCGCCCTTTGAACGGTGCGGCAGCGGCATTCGCGGCGACGGCACGTATCGTAGCGCCCTCGTTCGTCCCATGAGACTGATGTCCCTAGTTACTGCTTCTGTAGGACCCCGGTCTCGGTCGGCGGAAGAAATCGAGTTTCTCTGCCATAGCGAGAATTTCTTGAAAATCGGTGACGCCGCGAAGCTGGATTTCCTGAGCGATGCCGTGCTTCAGGCCGCCGATGTAGCGGTCGATGCGCTCGCCCTCGTGCATATAACCCACTTGCTCGCATAGCGCCAAAAATCCGCTGGTGTAGTCCTGGACGGAACCGAGTTGGCGCCAAGTGCGGAGCTTCTGTCGCGCCGCGATCGAAGCCGCAATTGGCTCAAATCGAGGGCGCAGACCTGCGCACCACGCGTCCCACGTGCGATATTGGGGCACCTCCACGAAATACGACGGCGCCCAGGGTCCGGTTTGTCCTTCCCGTGTTGGTAGAGTCGCGTAGTCATTCGGCTTCATGACGATGACGCGCCACCAGTCCATGGCGGGTCCTCGCAGCAGCGACACGGCGTAGCGGATTTTTGCCGTATCCTCCGAGACGTAGTTGGCGTCGAAGAAGACATTCATCGTGAACAGCCGCGCCTGAACGGTAGGACCACCCCGTTGACTCATGTCAAAGCATAGCGGACGCTGCGGCTTCAGCGGCTTCAGCGGCATCGGTGACGGCAGTGCTGAATCGTTGATCAGTGCCGAAATCGTGACGCGCGGTTGGCTTTGGGTCCGACCTGTCGTCGCTTCGGGGTGTGTCGTGCCGTGGTCGTCGTCTCCGTCGTGGCGGATGACGCCATCACTGGCCGCGCTCGCGGGTTGCCCCACACTTCCGTGTTGCGACGCTTGTGGTGCGGGCTGTACCGGAGTGCCAGGTGCTTGCGACTGTGCTTGCTGTGCTCGTGCGACGTCATTTTGTAGGGACGTGCGTTCTGCCGTCAGCGCCGCGATTTCTTCAGAGCTTTCGCGAAGTTGCTGCAGCAGTTCGTTCAGACGCTCATGCGTGAGGGTGGTGACGTCGATGTGCTTGGCCATTGCGAAGGGCGTCGGCTTGGCTTAGTCTAGGCACAGTCGTGGCTACACGTGTTTACGAGAGAACGCGAAGACAGCGGCTCCTAGGGGCTAAGGTGCGTGAGTCCCTTCGAGTGAAAAATCAAAAGTTGATTTCCTGGGGTGCGGAGATGCGCGGTCCGAAAAGAAAGAGGCTCTGAATACCAAGTGTTACGGGTGCAATGAATCGAGGTAGCGAGGATTGCACTAAGTGTCAAACGAGTACAAAATGTGAGCGAAGGGATGAGCGAACATTTATACGCGAAACATGCAAACGGTAACGCGGTGCGTGCGAGCTAGCTAGTGCTACGCTGGCAGTGAGGTTCGGGCCAGTCCCGAAGCGTAGGCCGACACGGTCGGGCCAGCAGTGCGAGGTTTGGTGAAACAGTGCGCGCGAAGTCGGCGAAGCCCCGTTAGCAGTAACGGGCGAAACAACGGCTGCTGCTGTACGCGATATTGCGGGATGCGCTAAGGAATGTCGAGAAAATTCCTTACATATATCATGAACTCCTTGTCTTCATCCTCGGTAACTCCAAATACCATTCACAAGGAATCTCTCTGTTCCACAGTCCACCAAGAACACACGATGCCCTTATCCGCGTTTTTGGTTGGATCGGTACCTTGGGCTTTGCGTCCTCTGCTGCTTGTGGGGGAGAGAAGCCAACAAACAATAAGAGGAGCTCGCAGCTCCTTGATGCTCCCTTTGCCTCGCAGGACTGCTGCAGGCTTCTGTTCTGTCCGGCAAGGTTGTAGTAACTAATTAGCTCAGGCCGTCGCGGGAGCTTCTGGTGTTCGTATCTTAAGTCGCGGGTAGCTTGTATACTTAAAAATCAGTAAGAATTTTAGTGCTGCCAATACTGTAGATACGGCATGGCGGATCGGTTGACGCGTATTGCGATCGTGAGCGGCGATCGCTGCAAGCCTAAGAAGTGTCGGCAGGAGTGCAAGAAGAGTTGTCCAGTCGTCAAGACTGGTACCGTCGTCGCCATCCCACCCACCTTCTCTCTTTCTATCGTTATTTCTCCTCTCCGCCTTCTCGTTAGATTCCACGAATCCGATCACTCTGTTCCTCGGGTGGCCGTTTGAGCCTCCTCAAAGTCTTCCCACGTTCTCTCGTTTTTCGCCTCCTAGTTACATTTACGAGTCTGATCATGGTTTCTCTCGGGTGCTGCAACGCTCCCTCCTCTTCCGACCTGTCGGCAATATCCCCTCAGTTTCGCGCTATCAGTTCGACTTAGCCTTGTCTTCGGTTGCGTCTCAACGTCGATACTATATTTGTTCCGATTTCTCCCCATGATTCTCCTCACCCTCTCGTGCACGGTCATCCCATCCGTGTACTATTTGTCTCCGACCCGTTCTTCCTGATTGTTGGTTTGTTGGCTCGTTCAATGTCCCTGACCCGTTGTTGACTCGTTCGATATCCCTGACCGTTGACTCGTTAATTCGTTGACCGGTTGACTCGTTGACTCGCTTGTCACAGGCAAGCTTTGCATCGAGGTCGGCTCCACCTCCAAAATCGCCTTCATTTCCGAAGAGCTTTGCATCGGTTGCGGTATCTGCGTCAAGGTGAGCATCGGCGCTGATAACAGTTACTTCGCCTCGGTATTCGCGATATCACTTTCCTTTATCGAAGTCGACATGCGATTTCTCAGAGTCTCTGGGCGTGGTCAGAAATTGTGTTTTTTTGTGGTCTGTGGTGACAGAAATGTCCGTTCGACGCCATTGAAATCATCAATCTGCCCAAGGACCTCGATAAGGACACCACGCACCGCTACGGCCCCAACACCTTCAAGCTCCACAGGTGACGCCAGAATCTGCGATATTAGGTTCCACACTGACGTCAGAGTTAGCTGCTTCGAACTTCACTGATGACGTCAGCGTTAGCTCCTTTAGCTCCAAGTTCTCGGGCCCCGCGCCGTTCTTTAGTCGACGTCCTAGCGTTGCAGGCCGTTACGCTGCAGACGAGATTGAGTTTCTACGTTACTGGGTGTAGAGTAGGCCACGTGATGATAACCAGGGTCCGGGGTTCTACTACATCATCAGCAGTGTCAGTTACGCATGTAGTTCTGCAGTGTCGTTTGAGGTGCCCGCGCGACGTCCCAGCCTAGGGTTAGGTCTACCATTGGCAGCAGAGCTAGGGTGTTCTGAGTTTACGTGATGCAGGTTTCACACATGCTCTTTTCTTCTTCTCGGGAGCCCATCAGGGGCTGCCCTTACACTCAAGTCATCACACTAGAGACTCGTTCTCGCAGCGATGTTTTCCTTCATGGCAGCGCCGGGCGTACGAAACGGCGCGTGCAGCTGCCTTGCCTTGTCTACGTCGAACAGGGGTTCAGGGTTTTACGCGTGACCTCTCATCCGTCCCTTGCGTTTTTCAACTCCCTTTCATCCGCCCGTCTCATGTATCCGTCCACGTGTCAGCCGCACAAACCCTAGTCCATAATAGACTTCAGCCTCCAAATGTATCTTTGATGCCTCCAGACTAAACTGATAAATTGGCAGGGCCAGCAGCTATTATGTCCTCAGAACCGCTGACAACCGATCCTCGCGCCTTATGTCCGATCACCGCCACCCATTTAGGCTGCTAGTGCCGCGACCAGGCCAAGTGCTGGGTCTGGTGGGCACGAATGGCATTGGCAAGTCAACGGCGCTCAAGGTGCTGGCAGGGCTGATGGACCGCCCGTGCTAGCCGCAATCTAACTCAATCCCCCACCCCCACCCACCCCACCCCCTCCGTGTCTCCCACTCCCAACGCCTGCTTCTCAGGCTGCCAGTGCCGCGACCAGGCCAGGTGCTGGGCCTGGTGGGCACGAATGGCATTGGCAAGTCAACGGCGCTCAAGGTGCTGGCAGGGAAGCTCAAACCCAACCTCGGGCGATTCAGTGTGAGCACCCAGCCCCTCTTCTCTCTCCAATTCTCGCGTCCATTCCTTCTTTTCACTCCAATCCTCGCCCTTTCCTTTCTACTCGTATTAATACTATTAGCTGCTCCTTATCCACCCCCTCCCTTTCTCCCATCCCCCCACTCCCTTTCTGCCTCTCCCCTTGCATGCACACCCCCACCCCCCTTCCCTCCTTCTCAAATGTCTCTCCTCTTTTCCCTTTCACTCTTATTATCACCCCGCGTATTGCACACAGAACCCCTCGATTGTCTGGAGATTTTGATATACTTTTGAAAGTCGGAGCTGCAGGATTGCCTATGAAAGGCCTGAGAAAATAGCGTTGTCTTCCCACTTCCCCCATGCTTGTGCCCCACATTTTGACTCCAGAACCCCCCTGACAGGCAAGACATTTTGACCTATTTCTGAGAGTCCGACTGCAAGTTTGCCGTAATTGTCCGTCTCATCCCCTCCAATCCTCCCCACCCTTATATGTGCTGCCCATACTGTGTGTTGCCCTGCCCGTTTTGTGTGTTCAGAACCCCCCTGACTGGCAGGAGATTCTGACCTACTTCCGAGGGTCTGAGCTCCAGAACTACTTCACTCGCATTCTGGAGGATAACCTGAAGGTGGGTGGGGTTCGGTGCAAAGGGGTATGCAGGTTGGGTCTGACATGGGGTTGGTGTCTGACACTTTCTGAGTTGCAAAACTGCTCTACTTGCATTTTGGAAAGGATCCTCAAGTTGGGGTGCGGTGCGAGGGGGTACGCAGGTTTACGTCTGACATTGAGTTGGTGCCTGAGACTGGCTGAGCTGCTCAACTCCTTCACTCGCATTTTGGAAGAGAACATCAAGGTGGAGTGCAGTGCAAAGGAGGCATACAAATTTGCGTTCAAGGGAGGTTAGTGGGCTGTGAGCAGATGACGATCGAGTTGATCAATTCAGGACAGCACGGTTTAGACCATCGCTCCCTGTGCGTCGTCGTTGCCACCTTTAACCTCTTTCTAACGCACTGATGCGTGTCCCATTCTCCCTCTCCCCTTCTCTCCCTCCTGGTCCTCTGCAGGCCATCATCAAGCCACAGTACGTGGACCACATTCCCAAGGCGGTCAAGGGGTTGGTGGGCGCAGTGCTCACAGAGTAGGGGTTCTTGAGACATCAAAGTGACATTCATGCCCCATTCCCCCCGTGCTCCCCTTCCCCCACCCTCAACCTCCCAGGCCATCATCAAGCCACAGTACGTGGACCACATTCCCAAGGCGGTCAAGGGGTTGGTGGGCGCAGTGCTCACAGAGTAGGGGTTCTTGAGACATCAAAGTGACATTCATGCCCCATTCCCCCCGCGCTCCCTTTCCCCCACCCTCAACCTCCCAGGCCATCATCAAGCCACAGTACGTGGACCACATTCCCAAGGCGGTGAAGGGACTGGTGGGCGTGGTGCTGACAGAAAAGGACGAGCGTGATGCCAAGGATGAACTCTCGGAAGTGTTGGAGCTCAAGCAGGTGCGATGGGGTTCAAAGTGGTGAGAGGCAGTTCGAATAGGTGCGAGTGGGGCAGGGCTGTTCGGGTGCTTGGCGTGGAGAGTGAGGGAAGGCGGTGAGGGGGTTGGTGGGCGTGGTGCTGACAGGGAAGGACGAGCGCGATGCCAAGGATGAGCTGTCGGAAGTGCTGGAGCTCAAGCAGGTGCGATGGGGTTTAGTGCGGTGAGTGGCAGTTCAAAGAGGTGCGATGAATCTCTAAGTGGTCCATTTATCAGATGGTGAGGCTGTAGCGGTTTGCCATCAGACCCAATTAATTAACTGTCTAACCCCTTTTCCTCTCCCTCTTCCCCCTTGTTCCCTGCTTCAGGTGTGGGAGCGTGAGGTGGAGCATCTCTCAGGAGGAGAGCTGCAGCGGTTTGCCATCGGGGTGGTGGCGGGGCAGCTGGGAGACATCTACATGTTCGATGAGCCCTCCAGCTACCTGGACGTGCGGCAGCGGCTCAAGGCAGCCCAGGTCATCCGCTCGCTGCTGCGCCCTGATAGGTGCGATAGAGCACCGCCCCACACCTTGTTAGGTGCGATAGAGCACCGCCCCACACCTTGTTAGGTGCGATAGAGCACCGCCCCACACCTTGTTAGGTGCGATAGAGCACCGCCCCACACCTTGTTAGGTGCGATAGAGCACCGCCCCACACCTTGTTAGGTGCGATAGAGCACCGCCCCACACCTTGATAGGTGCGATAGAGCACCGCCCCACACCTTGTTAGGTGCGATAGAGCACCGCCCCACACCTTGTTAGGTGCGATAGAGCACCGCCCCACACCTTGATAGGTGCGATAGAGCACCGCCCCACACCTTGTTAGGTGCGATAGAGCACCGCCCCACACCTTGTTAGGTGCGATAGAGCACCGCCCCACACCTTGTTAGGTGCGATAGAGCACCGCCCCACACCTTGTTAGGTGCGATAGAGCACCGCCCCACACCTTGTTAGGTGCGATAGAGCACCGCCCCACACCTTGTTAGGTGCGATAGAGCACCGCCCCACACCTTGTTAGGTGCGATAGAGCACCGCCCCACACCTTGTTAGGTGCGATAGAGCACCGCCCCACACCTTGATAGGTGCGATAGAGCACCGCCCCACACCTTGTTAGGTGCGATAGGGCACCGCCCCACACCTTGTTAGGTGCGATAGAGCACCGCCCCACACCTTGATAGGTGCGATAGAGCACCGCCCCACACCTTGTTAGGTGCGATAGAGCACCGCCCCACACCTTGTTAGGTGCGATAGAGCACCGCCCCACACCTTGTTAGGTGCGATAGAGCACCGCCCCACACCTTGTTAGGTGCGATAGAGCACCGCCCCACACCTTGTTAGGTGCGATAGAGCACCGCCCCACACCTTGTTAGGTGCGATAGAGCACCGCCCCACACCTTGTTAGGTGCGATAGAGCACCGCCCCACACCTTGTTAGGTGCGATAGAGCACCGCCCCACACCTTGTTAGGTGCGATAGAGCACCGCCCCACACCTTGATAGGTGCGATAGAGCACCGCCCCACACCTTGTTAGGTGCGATAGAGCACCGCCCCACACCTTGTTAGGTGCGATAGAGCACCGCCCCACACCTTGATAGGTGCGATAGAGCACCGCCCCACACCTTGTTAGGTGCGATAGAGCACCGCCCCACACCTTGTTAGGTGCGATAGAGCACCGCCCCACACCTTGTTAGGTGCGATAGAGCACCGCCCCACACCTTGTTAGGTGCGATAGAGCACCGCCCCACACCTTGTTAGGTGCGATTAGCGGTCACACAAAGAAAGAGGCACCATGTTCACATGCAACGGACGGACACGTTCACCTGCTGCTGCGCATATGGCAAGCTGTGTGCATGCAGTGCGGTGCGGAGTGGTCTGATTCACTACCTTACCTCTGATGCACCCATCCTCCCTGCCCCATCCCATTCTCAGAGCACGATCTGAGTGTGCCACGAGGTGAGTCTATACGCACCCCTGCCCCATGCACCACCCCACCTGCCACAGACATGCAACCATCATCTCCCCACCAGATACGCGATCGTCGTGGGTGGGTGGAGCACGATCTCAGTATGCTCAACTATCTCTCCCACTTCATCTGCTGCCTCTACGGCAAGCCGGGAGCCTACGGGGTGGTCACACTGCCCGTCGTCTCTGCCGGCCCATGCCCCATGCACCCATCCCCCCCTGCCCCATACATCCCCATCCCCCTCTGCTCCGTGCACCCATCCTGTTGGCCGATTATCCACTCTCCCACCCCCCAGATACGTGATTGTGGTGGAGCACGACCTGAGTGTGCTCGACTATCTCTCCGACTTCATCTGCTGCCTCTACGGCAAGCCGGGTGCCTACGGGGTGGTCACACTGCCCTTCTCAGTGCGAGAGGGCATCAACATCTTCCTCGCCGGCTTTGTGCCAACCGAGAACCTGCGCTTCCGAGACGAGTCGCTCACCTTCAGGGTAAGTCTGCTTTTCTGTCACTCCTTGTGAAAGGATGTTTCTTCCTTTCCTCAGTTTTAAACTCTGATCAAGACGAGGCCAAGACAGGTTCAATCTTTGCAGCTTAAAAGGCTTCTCTACGCCTCATTTCATTCTATCGACTCTCCCTTCAGGTGGCATATAGACTCCTGTTGAAACCCAGATGAAGCCAAGACATACAATCTGTACAAGTACCCGTGCATGATTATTAATTAAGGAGCAGAGGGACTTGAAGCTCTCTGTGTGCTGTTACAGGCTCCTCAACGCACTCCTTTCCCCCCCTCGGCTCCTTCTCCTACTCCCGTGCCTCTTCTTCCCTCTCCACTTCCCATCAGGTGGCGGAAACCCCAGTGGATAATCCCGAGGAGGCCAAGACGTACACGCGCTACAAGTACCCGCGCATGGTCAAGAAGCAGGGCGGGTTTAAGCTGACGGTGGAGCCGGGGGACTTCACGGACTCACAGATCGTGGTGATGCTGGGGGAGAACGGCACCGGCAAGACCACCTTCATCCGCATGCTGGTAGGCCAGAAACGGAAAATTTGACATGTTTCCACCACGGAGTGGGTAGGTGACCTCTCTCCTCGCTAGTAGTAGGAGGGAGGGGGGTATGCTTTCGCAAGGCTGATAAGCAACTCTAATTTCATATGCACGTCTTCGGGATTTTTTTTGGCCTTAAATCCCGTTCCCTGCTTTACTTACAATCACCAGCTCAAATGCCCCTTCGGGTCTCTTCCCTCCCTCCCTCCCATCTCCCCTCCCTCCTCTCCCTTTTTCTCCCCAGGCGGGTCTGTTAAAGTCTGACCCGGACGAAGCAACCGGCAAGGAGGCGGCGAATCTCCCCGAGTTCAGTGTGTCGTACAAGCCGCAGAAGACCAGCCCCAAGTTCCCTGCCTTACTCTCCTCCCTCCCTCCTCTCCTCTCCTCTCCTGTCTCGTTCTGAACCCCTCCAGGCCGGCCTCTTGAAGGCAGATCCAGACGAGGAGACCGGGAAAGAAGCTGAGGACCTTCCCGAGTTCAACGTGTCGTACAAGCTGCAGAAGATCAGCCGCAAGTTCCCCCTCTCATACCCTCTCGTTCCTCTCCTTTCCGCTCTCCTGTGTCCTTCTCAACCCCTTACAGGCTGGTCTCTTAAAGGCTGACCCGGACGAGGAGACCGGCAAGGAGGCCGAGGACCTGCCGGAGTTCAACGTGTCGTACAAGCCGCAGAAGATCAGCCGCAAGTTCCCTCTTTCGATTCTCTTTCCCCGACTCCTTTCCCTCCCCTCTCCTGTCCTGTCTGCTTCTCATCCCTTGCAGGCGGGTCTGTTAAAGTCAGACCTGGACGAGGAGACGGGCAAGGAGGCCGAGGACCTGCCCGAGTTCAACGTGTCGTACAAGCCGCAGAAGATCAGATCAGCCCCAAGTTCCCCTTCCCGTGCTCATTCTCCTTCCCCTTCCCTTCCCTCTTTGATCTCCCATGTCCCTCCTATCACACAGGCTGGTCTCTTAAAGTCGGACCCGGACGAGGAAACCGGCAAGGAAGCGGAAGATCTCCCGGAGTTCAACGTGTCGTACAAGCCGCAGAAGATCAGCCCCAAGTTCCCGCACAGCGTGCGCGCGCTGCTGCACTCCAAGATCCGCGACTCGTTCCACCACCCGCAGTTCAACACGGACGTGCTGCGCCCCATGCAGATCGACCCGCTGTTAGACCAGGAGGTGGTGAACTTGTCGGGTGGGGAGCTGCAGCGCGTTGCCATCACGCTGTGTCTCGGAAAGGTGAGAAGGAGCAGACAGGTATGAGCTGGGTGGGTGGGTGGGTGGAAGGGGGACCCCCCTCCTCCCACCACCCGCAGTTCAACACGGACGTGCTGCGCCCCATACAGATCGAGTCCCTCCTGGACTAGGAGGTGGTGAACCTGTCTGGTGGGGAGCTGCAGCGTGTGGCTATTACCCTCTGCCTTGGCAAGGTGAGAAAGGGCACACAGACAGGTGTGAGCTGGGTGGGTGGTGGTGGGGCACACCCCTCCTTCCACCACCCGCAGTTCAACACCGACGTGCTGTGCCCCATGCAGATCGATCCTTTGTTGGACCAGGAGGTGGTGAATTTGTCAGGAGGAGAGCTGCAGCGCGTGGCCATCACTGTCTCGGAAAGCTATGTGGTACGGGCCAACCAGGTGTGTCCAGGGGCGGATGGTGGTGGGACCCCTCCCTCCTCCCACCACCCTCAGTCCAACACGGACGTGCTGCGCCCCATGTAGATCGACCCGCTGTTAGACCAGGAGGTGTGGAATTCATCAGGGGGGAAGTGCAGCGCGTGGCCAGACTCTCTGTCTCGGGAAGTCAAGAATGGTTCAATCCCACTGGCTCCTTGTTAGGTTTTGAGTGGCGCATCGTAGCAGCCAATGTGATCAAGCTGTTCAACCTGTTCCACCCACACTCCCCCTTCTCCCTCTGCAAAAATCTTCCCTTCCATTCTCCATCTCCGCTCCTCCTCTTCCCACCCCTTCTTTCTCACGAGCCTTCAGCCCATCCTGACTCAAAGCAGCGCATCGTGGCGGCTAAGGTCATCAAGCGCTTCACCCCTCCGCTCTGCTCCCCTCGTTCGCCCTCTTTCCTTCTAGTTCCCTCTTCCCCTTCCTCCCCTCTCCAGCCTGCCGACATCTACCTGATCGATCCTCGGCCCATCTCGACTCGGAGCAGCGCATTGTGGCGGCCAAGGTGATCAAGAGGTCCATCCTGCACTGGCATTCCCCTCTTCCCTCTGGCTCCCTCTTCCCTTTCCCGAATGCAGCCCGCCGACATCTACCTGATCGACGAACCCTCGGCCTACCTGGACTCAGAGCAGCGCATCGTGGCGGCCAAGGTCATCAAGCGCTTCATCCCTCTCTCCCCACACTCCCCCCCCCTTCCCCCTGTGCTGCTTCCCACCAGCCTGCCGACATCTACCTGATCGACGAACCCTCGGCCTACCTGGACTCAGAGCAGCGCATCGTGGCAGCCAAGGTGATCAAGCGGTTCATCCTGCACGCCAAGAAGACAGCGTTTGTGGTGGAGCACGACTTCATCATGGCCACGTACCTGGCGGACCGCGTCATCGTGTACGAGGGGCAGCCGTCGGTGGATTGCACGGCGCGCACGCCCCAGTCCCTCAACAGCGGGATGAACCTCTTCCTCTCGGTGAGACACTCTCTTTCTCTTGCTGTGTGAGTGAGCCCCCCTCCCCCCCTCCATGAGCACGATTTCATCATGGCCACGTACCTGGCGGACCGGGTCATTGTGTACGAGGGGCAGCCGTCTGTGGACTGCACTGCTCGCACGCCCCAGTCGCTCAACAGCGGAATGAACCTCTTCCTCTCGGTATGCCATTCAGCCTGTAATTTTCACGTTCATGGTCAGATGTGATTTTTTTGATTTCTCAAACGTCGAGGCTGCGGGTTTCCGGGTATTTTTTAGAATTCTCAGAAATACCCTGCAAGGTCATGACTGGGGCTCATGACTGGGGCTCATGACTTGGGTTCACGACTGGTTCACATTCTGCAAGGACCATGCCAACGTCTGTGTGCCTTACCCATTGTTATCCTGATGCTCATTGCTGTTCTCACCCCAACACACACCCGTATGCTCACCCTGATTCCCACCATTATACTCATCCTGCAACCCCCCCCTCCCTTCTCCCCCATCCCCCTTCCCCATCCTCCTTCCCCCCTCCCACCCCACCAGCAAGTTATTAACACGTACCAGCAGAAATTCACCAACTTGCACTTGTACTAAGCAAGTTATTCCATTCTATATTGTCACCTCCATGCTCACTTCTTCGAACCCCCCCCCCCACCCCCTACCCCCACCAGCAACTGGACATCACGTTCAGAATGGACCCCACCAACTTGCGGCCGCGCATCAACAAGAGGGAATCTGTCAAGGACCGCGAGCAGAAGGCCGCCGGCACGCCCATGGGAGCTGTACCCTTGGAGGGTGCACTCTTGGACCCCTTTCTCACTCCCGTTTTCACCCCTGTTGTCTCTTCTGTCCCCCCCCCCCACCATCAACACCCCTCCCCCCACCCCATCAGCAACTGGACATCACGTTCAGGAGGGACCCCACCAACTTGCGGCCGCGCATCAACAAGAGGGAATCTGTCAAGGACCGCGAGCAGAAGGCCGCCGGCACACATGGGAGCTGTACCCTTGGAGGGTGCACTCTTGGACCCCTTTCTCACTCCCGTTTTCACCCCTGTTGTCTCTTCTGTCCCCCCCCCCCACCATCAACACCCCTCCCCCCACCCCATCAGCAACTGGACATCACGTTCAGGAGGGACCCCACCAACTTGCGGCCGCGCATCAACAAGAGGGAATCTGTCAAGGACCGCGAGCAGAAGGCCGCCGGCACACATGGGAGCTGTACCCTTGGAGGGTGCACTCTTGGACCCCTTTCTCACTCCCGTTTTCACCCCTGTTGTCTCTTCTGTCCCCCCCCCCCACCATCAACACCCCTCCCCCCACCCCATCAGCAACTGGACATCACGTTCAGGAGGGACCCCACCAACTTGCGGCCGCGCATCAACAAGATGGAATCTGTCAAGGACCGCGAGCAGAAGGCCGCCGGCACACATGGGAGCTTTTTCATTCCCGTTCACACCACTGTTCTCGCTCCTGTGCCACCAACCACCACCCCATTCTCTCCCCCCCCCCCCACCACCAGCAACTGGACATCACGTTCAGGCATGACCCCACCAATTTCCGGCCGCGAATCAACAAGAAGGAATCTGTGAAGGACCGCGAGCAGAAGGCACCTCTGTCCTCTCTCCTCTCCCCACACCCCACCACCCGCCCACATTCTCACCCCCTTTCTCCCCCATCAATCAGCAACTGGACATCACATTCAGGCGCGACCCACCAACTTCCGGCCGCGAATCAACAAGATGGAATCTGTGAAGGACCGCGAGCAGAAGAATGCCGGCACCTACTACTACCTCGATGACTGAGTCTTGAGTCTCACTGGCAATTGCCAACTTGCCATTTATCCCTACGGGGGTACACCTGTGAGACATTACGGGGGTCCCTACAGGGATACCTTACAGGCATCCCTATAAGATTTGACACATGTGGAGGCTACACTCGTGAGAGTTACCATACCACCCTTTTGAAAGCAACGCTCACATGCTAGGTGTATTTAGAGGGACAAATGCATTACGGTAGGTTTTGTGCATTGCAATCGTGTAGCAGGATTCGAGCTGTTTGTTTCTCTGGCAAGTGGATGCTCTAGGACATGCATTCCCGCGGACTTTTGACCCGACCTTGAGAGTCGCCTGTGCCAATTGATTGCTGTAGACATAACAAACGAAGCACGTTATTTGTTCAGGCTGTAGTCGAGTGAAGGTGTCTGTAACTTCTTCCAGTGACAGTATTTTGCAGTTGGAGCTTGAAAGATAAAGTTGCATTCCTGGTGGACTTTCGACCTGACCCAGCACGTGGCTATTACGCTGTGTCTTGGAAAGGTGAGAAGCAGCCAGGTCTGTGGAGACAGCACCCACCCAGCACACACCTGTCTGCCTCGACAGACCTGGCTGCAGGCTCGCGTCACATCACACTGAAATTCATGTAAACCCAAAACCCTTCGCGCATTTTACCAGGCAAGTCTGATCAGAGGCGTAGGAACACGCCCTAACAGAGAGTAATCTTTATTTTCTCTCCAGTTTTAGAGCAGTCTAAATAGTTTCCCCAGTGAGGCACACGTGCGCATTCTTTAAAACCACACAAAACAAAATTCTCCTTGATTACCCCAGTCTGCGTGCCAGCTCAGCAATGGCCAGGCCGTACAGCTTGGCGGGGTTGTAGCGCAGGATGACGTGGAAGTTGTGGCATGCCAGGTAAGCGACGCCAGCTGGACCGTCAGGTGCGATCTGGGGTAGGTGGGGTGGGATAGATGGACGGCAGGTGGAGGAGCAACCATGGTGCACAGTTCAGGAGAGAAAGGAAGAAGTGGAGTGAGCAATGGGCTGTGCAAGGGAGGGAGAAAGCATGGCCCTAGACTTGAGGGACGAGGAAGCAGTCATTTTTGAAACGCGCCGATGATCAGTGCCTCAAAATCACAAGAGCTGAAAACATTCAGTGGTTAAGGAGGAGCACTCAGCAATACAGGAGCAGTGCAGCAGGGTGAACGAAAGTATCAAATATTGGTAGGTGAGAAGGAGAAGGTTGGATGCATTGGCAAACGGAAGGGAGTGCAGCAAGAGGCATACGAGGTTGGCGATCATGTCAGGAGGCAGATTCGTGGCAGCACTTGCACTGCTTCCATCCCTTCCATCGCTTTCATCGCTTTCATTGCTTTCATTGCTTCCACTACTCGGAACGTTCCGACCGGTGGCATTACTTCCATCAGCAATTCTGACTCCGTGCTTCTGCTGCCACTCCGCCACTGTGAGTTTCACGGCGGGCTTTAAGAGCGAAGGCGGGAAGTCGGGGGGCAGGACCACCTGAGAGGGGGAACGAGGGGGCAGGGAGATTCGCTCAATGAATAAGGGCTATTTCCAACTCCCTGCTGCCATGAGAGAACGATGAGAGGGACATAAGAGAAGCATGAGAGAAGCATGAGAGAAGCATAAGAGGGATATGAGAGAAGCATAAGAACCAGAGAGTTTGCCTCTTACCTCAACCCCCAACGGCTCCCCTCGTTTCCACCGGTTGCATCTGAGACAGTGTGCAATTGATGCTAGTGCGTGCACAGAAACACAGCAACGCAGCAACACAGGAACACACTGGCTCTTGGAAGAAACACATAAACTGCCGCTTTGCTCACCTCAACCCCCACTGGCTCCCCTCGTTTCCACCGGTTGCACTTGAGGTAGTTTGCCATTGATGCGAGCACGTCGGGAATGGAAGTCCAAATATCTGCTTCGAAAGGGGCGAGATGAGAATGGGAGTTGAGAGGCAAAATGAGAGAGGAAGACGAGAGGACAGAGCTGAAGAAATCAAACATCAGATGTCTGCAACGAAAGGGAGGCGATCAGCAGGAAAGACGAGAGAGGGGCAAGAGGCGGATATGAGATAGATGACAGGGCAACATGATGTGACTGCCACAGGGCGACTCAAGATGATGAGCTGATTGCCTATGGATGCAAGGCCTCACCTCTCCACCCATCTCCATCGTAATCCACCTCATAGCCACTGCATACGACCCCAACAACCGCAGTTCCCTCTGCCCTCGCGTCGCGACTACACCGTAGCTCTGGTATAAGTAAGCGCCACACTCAGAACCTGCTCACCTCTCCGCCCGTCTCCATTGTAGTCAACAGCATACGCCTTAAAAGATGATGGCATGAACTGGCACTGCCCCATCGCCCCTGCATACGACCCCAGCAACTGCGCCCTCCCCATTGCACGTAATTATTACATATTACATGTGAGCTCTACTCTCAAGCTCCCACCTCACCTCTCCGCCCGTCTCCATCGTAATCCACCGCATAAGCCTTGAAAGACGAAGGCATGAACTGGCACTGCCCCATGGCCCCTGCATACGACCCCAGCAACTCTACTCTCAATTCCCCCACCTCACCTCTTCTCCCATCTCCATCATAGTCAACAGCATAGGCCTTGAAGGACGACGGCATGAACTGGCACTGCCCCATGGCCCCTGCATACGACCCTAGCAGCCGCACCCTCCTCTCTCCCACTGCGCTTGCAGCTGTATCAGCAGCAGCAGCAGCAGGAAGGCTCTGGATTGCTACGGGAGGCCCGTGGTTGTTCTCAAGGATAGACAGCGCTTCCATTAGCTCTTCCCGGAAGAATGCGGCGCGGCGAGGCTGCAGACAGAAAAAGGAAGGGAGGAGAAAAGGATCGCGCTGGTGGGAGTGTGCTGCTCTGAGAGGCCCGTGGTTGTTCTCAAGGATAGAGAGCGCTTCCATTAGCTCTTCCCGGAAGAATGCAGCACGGCGAGGCTGGATGAAGGAAAGGGAAGGGAGAAGAGAAAGGTGTGTGCCTGATGGGGGTGGAGCGGGTCGATTGTGTCAAACATCATGTAAAATATCAGGTGAAAAATCAGGTGAAAATAGGAAAAACATATTGAGTACAATATTGAGTAAAATATTGGGTAAAGCGCACTAAAGCACCACACCACAACACACTACCCCATACAACCTTACATGTCACCTGCTTCGTACGATACATAAGGGTGAGCAGAGCCTGGATGGCATCCACTTGCACTGGGGCACACTGAACTGAACCACCACACCGCACCGCACCGCACCGCACCACACCACACCCACACCACACTACACCACCTCTCACCTGCTTCGTACGATATGCGAGGGTGAGCAGAGCTTGAACGGCATCCCACTTGCCCATGTTCTTCCCATAGCTGCCACGTCAGCAGTCACACAACACAGGTCAGCAACAAACCTGAGTCGCTTTGAAGGACTCTTGAAAGCACAACTATCGAGTTGAGTGCACTACATGTCCGTGCATTACATGTTTCTCAAGTACATATGAACCCTCATACCACTCCCCGTCTCTCATGCACCACCATGGCCCATGGCATGTTCTTGCATCCCATGTTGTCACATGCATACATGCCATCAACACATGCATCCTCGTTACAACATCCTTGCTATAACACACATCCCCGTTATAACGCCCATACCTCGTTACAATACCTGCTCTCTATGCCCCACAGCGCAGTCATCACATTGGCCGGCACGCCGTAGATCTCCTCAATCTCCGCCAGAAGCTTCCGGTGAGCTTCCATCACCTGCCTGCCTTCCAGCACCCGTGCATCACTCACCATCCTGTGTTGTGCACCCACGATTGAACCAACCCATTCAAGAATAGGGGATGAACAGAATATATACTAATGCCCACAAACCTACACGTGACGACCTCGTTTGTGCACCCATCAAGTATGACAAGCATGGGGGAGGGATGGATACATGCGCGTAGTGATACCTTCTTGTTGGGTACTTCCCACTTGTTGGTTACCTTCTCCTTCCCTCTCTTTTTCCCCAGTCCTCACCTGGCCACATACTGTCGTGCAGTGAGCACCACCTCCGCGGCGCCAGTCACTCTAGACACCACAGCAGGCAGCGGCTGCAGCCCTTCCAACGCCCCGTGTTACCTGCAATGCATATATTACTCACCATCCCTTGCTCTTTACACTCACCTGGCCACATACTGCCGTGCAGTCAAGACCACCTCTGCTGCACCAGTCACCTAGCCACCACAGCAGGCAGCGGCTGCAGCCATTCCAATGCCTCCCTCACCTCACCATCTTCCCACACTGATTATTCAATCAACCTTCCCGAGACCTTCACCTGTCCACATACTGTCGTGCAGTCAGCACAACCTCCGCGGCACCAGTCACCTTGGACACCACAGCAGGCAGCGGCTGCAGCCCCTTCCAAAGCCTCCCTCACTGTCTCCTCCGATATGCCCGCGCTACTGCCTCAATCCCACACCCCCTGCAGCCATATCTCATACTCTAGCGCCTCCCTTTCCCTCTCCCTCTTCCTCTCTCGTTCCCTCTCCTTTTCCTTCTCCCTTTCTTTCTCCCGCTTCCTTTTTTCCTCCCTTACCCTCCTTGCCTCGTCCCTCTCCTGTCTTCTGGATTTACTCGTACTGACTCCCTCTTGACTACCCCCGTTGACTTGATTGACTTCCATGACTGGTCCTGCTTCTCCACTCACCGCTCCAACGCTCTCCTTGCCTCCCTCCCATGCCCCTGTGCCGGCTCATTCTCTCCTTATCACTATGGCTATTACTGCTGCTACTATCGATCACCCAGCTCGCCCCTCCTCTTCTCCTCTCTTCCCACTCTTCTCCCTCCACCACCGCTGCTCGGCATGCTCCTGCTGCTGCAGTCTGGTCGTTCCCCGTCCCCAAGCAACCAGCTGCACATGCTTCACTGCGTCACCACCCACCACACAGTCATGCTGGTACTCTTGCTGCTGATGATGCACCTCCTGCTGCTGTCCGGTCATCCCCTGTCTCCAAGCAACCAGCTGCACATGCTTCACTGCATCACCACCAACCACCGCACAGTCTCTCAACATTTCACACGGCACAACCCTTGGGCCATCCATCGCTGCACTGCATAGCACCTCTTCTTGTCTAAAATCCACCGCTCCTAACCTCGCTGCACCCTTTTCACCTTTCCACTCCACTCTTCTTGCCCCTACAAGCGGCTTTTCTCCAACTCAAAGCTCACCGCCTGCTGTTCTCCTCGCCTCAGCCTCCATTCCCTCCCTTCCCACCCTTCCCTCCCCTCCCCCTCCCCCTCCCAGCCACAGCAGCAGCCACTAGAAGGCCAGCCAGCAGCAGCAGCAGCAGCAGCACAGTGATTCCAGCAGCCAACCACCGGGCAGCATGGTCATCACCCCCCTGCTAGCTGTTTCCCCACTGTCTCTTTGAGAGCAGTGGCACATGCTGCTAGTATCGACGCCCACCACCTGCTGCAGCTGCTGCACCCCTGATCGTTTCTTCTCGCACCCCTCCTCTTCCCTCACCCCTTCGGCTTTTCTGTTTTCCCCCCTCCTCCTCCTCTTCCATCCTTGGTCTCTTTACCTCCTGGGAGTGTCCGGTAGGGTCAGGTGGGTCCTCCATTGTAGCACCTCTGCCTTCAGTCACACCACCAGCCTTGGCAACAAGCCTCCCCTCGCTATAATCCCCATCCTTCTCCCCAGCAGCACCACTCTCTACCCCATTACAACCACTTGCTATACAATCATCCCCACAACACAGGAACATCACCACTGGCAGCCACTTCTGCAGTGGCATACCCATCACATCCCACCACCACCACAGTAGCAGCGGCGCCACCATCAGCAGCGTACCTTCTCCTAGCAATCTGACGAGCAAAGGCAGCACTGCCGCCAACAGAAACCCACCACCAACCCCCCACGAGCAGCAGCAGCAGCCGCCGCAGCAGCAAGCGGCAGCGGCAGTGGTTGCTAACGAGAGACACTGACAGTAGCAGTGGCCGCTTTTTCTTAAAGCCCGGATTCTTTCGGGAGTGGCAGCAGCAGCAGCAGCGCCTGCAAGTGTTTCAGCTCTCTGCCTCAATGCCTCCTTCAGCAGTGCTTGGGACTGCTGTTTCAACGCCTGTGCGTGCTGCTTGAGTGTCTGCCCTTGTTCTTTTGATGTTAGCGAGGTTCGAATCCGCACTCTAACCCGCTTCTGACGTCTTTTCTCTGAACCTGAACTTGCTCCAACCCCTGCCGAAGCTACACCTGCCGAAGCTACACCTACAGAGACTCTTTGGCCTAATTCTTCCCCGTCCTGTAGTAACCCATCTCCAGCTGTAGTCGCTGCACTGGACTGGTCAACCAAGCGTTGACTCAGTCTTCTCCTCCACCCACCAGCCTGATCCCTCAGCCTGCCTTTCACGTGTTGACCAGTGCGTTGACCCAAGTCAAAGACAGAATCCGGCAGTTGACTCAAGTTGATATCAGAAAACGGCAGTTGACCCGAATTCTGCCCAGCCTTGTGAATTGCCATGTCTGCCAGCCTGCCTTTGACCCGTTGACCAGTGCGTTGACCCAAGTCAAAGACAGCATCCGGCAGCTGGCTCAGCTTTTGCCCTGCCTTGGGACCTCCCAGGTCTCCCAGCCTGCCTTTGACCCGTTGACCAGCGCGTTGACCCAAGTCAAAGACAGAATCCGGCAGCTGAGTCAGCCTCTGCCCTGCCTTGCGACCTACTTCACCAGCGGCCTTTGTCAACGCTCTAGGTGCCTCAGCAGCCACGCCAGCAGCTCTTTTCAGCCTACCAGGCACCTCTTTTATCGGAGCAGCAGTTTCCTTTAGTTTAACGGGCACAGTACCCACCAGAGCAGCGGCTCTTCTCACAGCAGCCGCAACGGCTGCTCTCTTGCTCCCAGCGCCGCCACCCTTGCCAGTCTGACTCGTTTCAGTTGCACTCGTTTCAACGTGACTCGTTTTGATCTGACTCGTTTCAACCATACTCAACTCTACAATTTCTGCTGGAATGCCCTTCTCGTCTCGCACAGCCTTCTCCCCCACTCCACGTCTCTCCCGTCTCCTCTCCCCTCTCATCCCCCCCTCCTCATCCTCCCCATCGCCCTGCACCTCACCTCCCCCATCGGCAATCCCTGAGCTCACACTCCCCTCCACCGCCGATGCTGCAAGCCGGCAATTGCGGCCGAACGGGTGGTTACTGCTAAAACGGGAATTCGAGGGAGCAACGAACGTATGTGAGAGCGGGAAAGGTGTGGCAGAGAGGAGACATGCGTTCGCGAATGGACGGCTGCTGCTGCTGCCGCCGCCGCTGCTGCTGCGGGGATTCCTGCTGAGTGCGCTGCGTCGTGAAGATACCCCGGATGTGACAATAAGCGGAAGGTGACTACTTCGAGGGTAAATAGGCCCCACAGTAGCTGCTGCGGACACAGCGGCCATCACGGCGGCAATAACTGCTTCCTTAGCGGCGCGTCTCTGCCTAAAAGGGGTTTTAAACCGCCATGGTCATTCTGAACAGTCTTCCATTTAACTCGGAAGCTGGAGACTTGGAAGCTCGGGTCGGGAGTCCCGGTTGTCGCGCAGTGATTACTTCGGCACTCGAGGCTACTTAGAAACCGCGGCCTTGACGATTCGGAACGTGCTGATGCGGTGGTGATGGGCAGAACCGAGGTGACAGGGTGAGGTGCGGATGGACTGGCTCGCTGAATGCTCACGCAGTACGATATTATACAGCGCGTCATACTCCAAGGTTGTCATACATGTACAGTAATAGAGATAGCAACATATGGCTCACCTCAAATGTCATAGAAGTGGGAAGTTATATTGTCTTTGGCGCAGGTCGAGCGGATTTGCCAGAGAAAAAAGGCAGGTCGAGCTCGTCTGGTCGAGCTCGACTAGACCCACGCGGAAGCGGCGCAAGCTTGCGCCGAGCAAGACAACCCCCACCGCCCCAAGGGCTAGGTTTGGCCTGCTTGTGAAACAGTAGTCTGCCCGAGCAGATTCGTGGCGCAATTCAGCTGGCGAAGCACGTGCTCTCGCGAGTGTCAGTGTGCAGACGTCAATTGACGTCCAGATTTCGCGCAAACGGTTGCGACGTGATCTTTGCGACCACGTCGCAACCAGTTTACGAAAACCCCTGTATTGAGAAACTCGGTACCGGGGTTCGATTTAGAAGTATGTTTACAGTGGTTTTTTGTTAATTTGCACACTACGAGATTACATCATCTTCCGCTTGTTAGAGCGTTTTTTGTTTGCGCGTGTATCCGGCAAATTCTGTGTTCGCAATTTGTACCACGGCCATTCGCTAACAGACAGACGAGCAGGTCGGTTCTCTTCGATCGCGACAAGGAATCTTTTTTTATGCACCGATCCAACAAATTGCAAGTTCCGACATGACATCAATACGATCAACAGTTGTCGCAATGTCAAAACGATAAACTATTGTTATTCGTACACCTTTTTGCACGCTACTAGTCCAAGTGTCCGCAAAATTCCTGTTTGAAGCACAATAGAAACCGGGAATTCGGAATTGTAAAACACTTTTGGTACCATAAGAAGAGGTTTTATTCCGGATTTTACGACCGCGACAAGGTACTCTTAACAGTTTCGTAAAATCAGCAGAGCCACTTTAAGCTTGTTTTTTTTAAATTCGAACTTGGCCACGACCCCTGCTGTAGTACAATATAAAGAATCCTTGTATTAACAATCTTCCGATTTTGTGTGTGAGATGTAGTATGAAGGTGTGTGAGGATTAGGCAAGGAGGGGTACAAACAAGTGTCGAGCAAAGTTCTGTACCCCCTAAGGCTAAACCCACTACAGCCTAGATGACATTAAACATATATTTGACACACCCCCATAGGCGAAGTGGGGGATAGCCAACACAAGAAACGGTCACAAGACCAGTCAAGAGAAGAAACAAAGCAAAACAAGCTCAGGGTGGATCACAACGTCACCACGCATTCTGAGCACAAGCACAGGCCACAAGGCCAGTTCACAAGCAGAGTTATATATCAAGGTGAACAAGCAAGGCAGTGATCTCAACCTAGCAAGGGTAAGCATGCAGGTGCAGGTATATATAGATCACAGTACAAGCAAAGTCAAGAAGTGAGCAAGTGAGGCCAAGTAGGCACAAGACCTAGCATAGTACAAAAGCGCTGATGATCACAAGGCTGAAGTGCCTTGGTGAAGATATCAGCGGTGTTGGCCCGAGAGGCCACGTAAGCAAGGCGCAGCTGACCACGCTGCTGCAGCTCACGAGCAAGGAAGTAGCGAAGAGCAGTGTGCTTCGTTCTGTGCTCCAGTCTGTGCTCCCGACACAAGGCCAGCATGGCCTTGTTGTCTACGTACAGAACTGGAGGAGAACGAGGCGGCTCTCCCAGGTCGGTCAGCAGGTAGGTGAGCCAGCGTAACTCCTGTGCAGCCATGGCCCCTGCGTAGATCTCAGCCTCACAGCTGGAGCTGAGAACAGAAGACGAGGGGGTAGACCGCCAAGAAACAGAGTCGGAACCAAGGCTGAAGGTGTAACCCTGTGAAGACGTCAACCCAAGACGCGTCTGCGTGACCAGTGAGTACCACTGAACTCCGCCCTCCAAGCACGAGCCCCATGCCCGACGTACTGCACAAGTAGCGCAACACCCTCTTAGCTGCATCCATGTGCTCTGGTCGGTGTCTCCCAGGAGCAACATAGCGTGCCAGGATGCTAAGAGGGTATGCCAGGTCAGGTCTAGGCTAGTGCAGGTCATCAGGTACATGAGGCAGCCGACAAGCTCTGGGTACGGGCCACTCGCCTCTACGGACTCATCCGAAGGCA